TTGCGTCTGTTGGTTGTGCTTATATGCATGCATACAAGTCCTTTGGTTGATCTCTTACCCCCAGCCCACCAGCCCTCCCCTACCCCCCCGCTGTAGCTCGACAGTCTGTTCGATGCTTCTTTGCCTGTCTATTTTTGTTCAACAGTTTGTAATGTTCTTTATTATCCATAAATGAGTGAGATCACATGGGCTGAACTTTTCATACAGCATGGCCTCAGTGACATCCCTGTGCAAGTTACCCACATACAGGGAGGCCATGGGGTAGCTGCTGGTGGCAGCATTCATCTCCCCAGCCCCCAGGACCCCAAGCCCTGCCAGGACTTCTTACAGGGCCCACAAAGAATAAAAGGGGTTCTTCCCCAAGCAGCGCGCAACCGGCTCACAGGTGGCAGAGCAGGAGGGACCCAGAAGTTTGGGGTGGCTCACTCGAGACTACAGGACTGCAGACAAAAGGCTCTCAAAAACAATATGGCTCTCCCTGGGAGCTTGTAATTTTCAGCTCCAAATTTCCAAAATAAATGTATTAAAATGGGGACTTTCCTCCAAATTACAAAAATTCTTAAAGGGCCAGCCAAACGGTGCCCACGCAGCCTCTGGGATACGTGTTTCTCTTTAAATATAGGCCCTGGGCTGCTGACACTATAAGATTACAGCTGCAGAAGAGGAATGCAAAATATTTGTCAGTTTGCAAGCCTGGGGGGCCGAGCGCGCAGCTGCCTTCACGCGGGCTGCCATGGGCAGCGCAGACACGTGGTGCTTAGGGAGGACAGTGTGGGGCTGCCACGAGGCTGGGGCGTGGACACACGCGGCTCACCACCGACGCCCAGGTGCAGTGGAGGCGGCAGGCAGGCCAGAAGCGTGCAAAAGTGACTTCCCTGTAGGTTCGAAGAGGATTCACTTTTTCTTTCTCTCTTTTTTTTCCTTTTCCAGATTTTAAAGCGTTTTCGAGGTTTTTTTTGTTTTTTGTTTTTAATTTTTTCTTTTTTTCTTCAGGCTACTGAGCCCAAAAGCAGCAGAGACTGTGGCAACCCAGGGCGGAGAGCTTAAAATATATTTTTATTTATTTCAGAGAGGAAGGAAGAGGGAGAGAGAGGTAGAAACATCAATGATGAGAATCATCGATCAGCTACCTCCTGCATTCCACCTACTGTGGATTGAGAGAGAGGTAGAAACATCAATGATGAGAGAGAATCATCAATCAGCTACCTCCTGCATGCCACCTACTGGGGATCGAGCCCACAACCTGGGCATTTGCCCTTGACCAGAACCGAATCTGGGACCCTTCAGTCCACAGGCCAATGCTCTATCCATTGAGCCAAACCAGCTAGGGCAAATTAATTTTAATTTTAAAAATGGTGACATATTCATATTATATGAGAAGGCCATAAAAATAAAGAAGTCCTTTACAAAATGGAAATAGATATTTGCCCATTGAAGCATGAAGTTATTTGGGTCTCAAACTTCCTATAAATATTAATATGACAATAAATTGGTAACAATAAATGTCACTAAAAAATTATTCACTTTGTTTGAAATAATCCGGAACCTTGATTATTTGAAAGAACATGGGAGAACATGGAGAACTCCTGGTCTAGCTGACATTTCTGTTCATACTGTCTAATCCCAGAAGAGCAAACACACAGCATATCTCCACTAAGTATGTCACACTGTACGTGTATATATGGTTGCAGGAACTGCCTGCATGTACATTCACTAGATATTGGCTGGTGTGAATGAAGCAAAATTATACCTATTTTTTTGTCAGATCGACAAAAA